AGGTCACGTCCACTAGGCGGTCGATCTTGGGGAGGGGGAAGCAATCTTTCGAGCAAGCTCGGTTCAAGTCAGTGTAGTCGATGCACATGCGCCACTTGCCGTTTGCCTTTTTTACCAGGACTGGGTTGGTTACCCAGCTCGGGTAATGAGTTTCCCTTATGAAGTCTGCTGCGAGGAGCTTCTCGACCTCCTCATTGAACGCCCTCCAGCGTTTTGGGGCTAAGTTGCGTTTCTTCTGTCTAATGGCTCTGACTACAGGGTCAGTATTGAGCTTGGGAGTTATGAGCATAGGGTCTATGCCGGGCATTTCTGCCGCGGACCAAGCGAAAACATCTAAGTTACTGAGTAAGAAGCGTACCAATTTAGATCGCAGGGGTTCTTCAAGGGATGCTCCGACCTGAAGTAATCTGGTGGGGTCCTCTGTCGAGACAGAGATGGGAACAATTTCCTTTGTTGGTGCAGCTCGCTCCTCGTTCTGTTTCGTAGGTTGCTCCAATTCGAGGTCGCTGGTTACTTTGGCCTTTCCCTTGAGGGCGGCAACGTAGCACTTGCGGGACTCGAGCTAGTCGCCCCGCACCACCCCGATGCCGAAGTCCGTTGGGAACTTCATGGCCAAATAGTAAGTGGACATCACTACTTTTAAGGCGTGGGTGATCGACTGACCTACTATGGCGTTGTAAGGGGAGGGGGTTGCGACCACCAAGAAATCATGACTGAGTCTTACCGTGCTAGGCCACGTGCCGACTTCCACAGGTACTGTGACCTTTCCCAGGGGTCTGACCTCTTCTCCGCTGAAGCCGACCAGCGGGGTGTTCGCGGGCTTCAAGTCACTTTCTCGGAACTGGAGATTGTTGAAGGCCGCTTTATAGAGGATGTCTGTCGAACTGCCGGAGTCAACGAGTACCCGTCGGACTTCGAAGTCGTTGATCTTCATCTTTATGACAAGTGTGTCGTCATGGGGTAGTGGACCCCGCGCGCATCGTCTTCGGTGAAAAAAAAAAAGGGGTCTTCTGTCCTAGGCCGCTTCGGGGGATTTCGCTCTTCTCTGGCGGCCTCCCGGGTTGACGCGCGAGCTGCTGCCGAGGTGCACTCTGCCACGACCGATCATCCAACGATCACGTGGATTGTTCCCCGAACTGGTCTTTCCTCCGGGGGCTGCTTCTGTGGTTCTACTGGCCGGCTGCTAGACTCGGGAGCGTCTTTGCTGTGCTCTCCCTGCCGACCTGGCTTATTACTATTATTGTTATTATTGTGCTGTACAAAATTTCGTAGATATCCACGACGGATAAGTTCCTCTATCTCGTCGTGGAGATTATTACAATGTTTGGTGCTATGACCGTGATCCCTATGGAAACTGCAGTACAAGTTTTTATTCCTCCCGTTCGGGTTTCCCTTCAGACGAGGTGGCCACTTCACATACGGGGCGTCTTTGATCGTCATTAAGATCTCAGCCCGCTTCGTGTTTAAGGGTGTGTAGTCCATCCGAGCTGCTAAGGGAGCTCGGAACGGCTGGCTTGGCTTTGTCTCCCGAGCTGGGTCTTTCCTTCTTCTGTCATCTGGGTTGGAGGGCTCGCCTTCCCTCTTTCTTTTCTCGATCCCGTTTTTAGTCCTTTGGTTGATCTCCTCCTCTGTTCTCATGAATTTGTCCGCGAGCTTGAGGAATTCAGCCACGATCGTGGGCTGGTTAACTACCATGTGCCACTTGAACTCCTTGTGTGTCACTCCTCTTTTGGCTGCCGCGAGCTACACCACGGGGTCCAGGCGCGGTATCTGTAAACATGCGTCATTGAACCGCTTGATGTAGCCCCGGATGGACTCTCCTTCTCTCTGGACTACTCCGAATATGCTCTCCTCGGTTCGGGGGCACCGTTTGCTGGTAACAAAGTGCGCGGTGAAGACCTGCACGAAATGGGTCCAGCTTCTTATTGACCCGGGGGCCAGGTTCCTATACCAGGTGCAGGCCACCCCCCTGAAGGTGGTAGTGAAGGCCACGCATATGCAGGATTCACTGGCCCTTGCTAGGTGCATTTGGGACTAGAAGGCATCGACGTGGTCGTTGGGGTCAAAGACCCATCATACTTGTCTAGAGAGGGGAGTTTGAACTCTCTGAGCATGGAGACTGCAAGGAGTTCTGACGAGAGGGGGGAAGGGACTGAGAGAATAGGGGCAGCTTTTACCTCGTCTGAGTTTGTCTCTTCTTTACCTCGGAGCTCGGGCAGGATGCGGGAGGTAGTTCGGTGACCTCGCCGGCGTGTTTGTTGCTGCTTAGAGGGACTGGTATTGGCGCTACTGGCCTCGGTGTTGCCGAGCTCGATGAACCCGGACTGTTGGTAGTCCACTGCTAGGACGTCGAATCGGTTCTCTGTGAGTGGGAGCTCAAACTTGGAGTGCCGAGGTGCCGACTTGACTGGCAAGGAGGTTCCCGATCCGCTAGCGAGCTGCGAGGCGGGGGTGATTAGTCTTTCCCTCCTGCCCGGGGATGAGGTCTGGCTCTTGGAGGGGTTCTGAAGTTGGGAAGCTTCTCCTCGGTGGAGGCGTCCGCCCTGAGGGGAGGGCTTAATCGGCTTCGGAGCAGGGTGCCGAGGTGGAAGCTGTGGTTGGTTCAGAGGCAATTGGGGGAACTACTATTGATAGTGATACTGAGAGATGTGGTGCAATACTTGCTACTGATGGAGCTGATGCTGCTGGAACTGCTGCATTTGGGCTTGCATTGCCCGCATGCACTGCATCAGGTCATCAAACTAGTTTTGGCTAGTCGCCGGAGGGACAGTAATCGGTTCGGCAAAGGTTGTCTCGACAGGGAGAGGAAGGGGAACATTCATAGGTGCCACCATGTTTGGTGCGTTGAGGCTAGGGATTCTGTCCGTCAATAGGGGGCGGTGAACTGTCCTATGCACACAGTGGCGGGCTGGGGGTGTTCCCCTACAATATTCAAATTGGCGTTGTGCCTGCTACTGCTGGGAGAAGCCATGGAAGCTAAGGTTTCTTTGAGAGAGAGAGATAGAGAGTTAAAGGTTAGGGGAGGCCTTTTGAAGTCTTCCCACAGACGGCGCCAAATGATGATGCGCAATCCGGTCGATCCTAACTGCCGGTTACCTCGCTTCTGACGAGATCGGAGGTGCCTGAAACAAGGAAGGAAATGGAGACTTTCAGGGAGGAACCCGGTTGGAACACTCCAAAGCTCAAGTTAGTGCTCTTCAGAAGGCAAGGGAAATGAGAAATTCTGAGGCCAAAAAGCGCAAGAATCACGTACCTACTTCCCCATGAGATGGGGGTCTTTATAGTCACCTTCTATACTACTCCCGAACCGTTGTCAGTTCGGGCATCATTACCTCTGCCAGATTGGGTCACTTCCTCTACCAGATCGGGGGTCATTTCGGGTGTCATAACCTCCACTGCCAGTGCCAGTTCGGGTGTCATA